GGGGTTGGGCGTCATATGGGGTCACTTTCGGATAGCTTCTTTTCCAGGCGAGTGGTTGCCAGGACTGGAGGGACTTGAACGTTTGGATGCAAACGGCATTTAATACCAACATTTTTGGGTGCTGTTCAAACTCCAGCCATGAGCTTAGGAGACGTTGCAGGCTGGGATGAATCGTCTAGCTCCTGGTGGTCTAGCAACTCCGGGTGGCAAAGGCTGGTAGTTCTCACGTGTTGAATAGTAGTTTGAAGTGCATCTCAGTTTTCAGTGTGTTGGTATGGTCCACGGTCATAACCAACCTGGGGGACGTTATGTTTTCAGCAATATGACTTTGTGATCATTCAAAAGAAGAAGAACCTCAAGGTTGCATTCATCGTGAGCCGATATCACTCGGATAGTCACTGGGAACCTGCGGGACTCCCGATTAGTTTGCACTTACGGCTTCGTGGAGGATCGGGCTCTGGGCTTCTGGGTTTCATGGTTAGCACGTTACCAATGGACCGATGGGCCGGGATTCGGTGTTATATTACTCACCAAGACCCCCAAAATCGGCGCAGCTGCAGAAGGTTGTGTTTGGGTCCAATTCACCAAGGGAGAATGTGTTTAGGGTGACCTCGAATCACAATTTGGACCTATTCTTCGGGGCAGTAATTTGAGTGGTGAGAGGTAGAAGTGACGGCGAAGGGCTTATGGCGGCTGTGGATCTACTGGTATCCTTAAACAGATTGACAGACTAGGGGGTCATGCGGCCATGATTCTAACATGTCTGTGGTAGGAGGTATATAGCGACCATCACCTTGGGGCTCATAAAAGGGTTACGAGGACAACAGATCAGTTGACGAATAGCAAGTACTGCTGGAGATGAAAGACGGTGGGGACGTTTGATGAAAAAAATTGAGTGAGCGAGAAATAAATAAATTTTTATTCTGACATTAGTGACTGACGTGAGAGAAGCCGGTTTGCAGGCATCATCACATTGAAATATGTCAAAAAATCTACAAGATTTCACGGGTCCTGAATAGTACAGAGGTGAAGTTGTTTAACTCCATCAAAAACATCAGATAGCGGTTACGGGACAAAGAAGATACCACTTTCAGCATATGCAGTGCGTCAAAGTGAAGATAATAAAAATTCCCATCCCCAAATAATGGATTTAACGTGACAGATACCAGTTCACAAGAACCGTCAAAACAATGATTTTGAAAGTTTACAGAATAATGCCGGGAATTATATAACTCATATAGCAGGTTACTGATATACATAAACTTGTCAAAACCTGCTGCAAATCAGGAGACGGGTTTAGATTTCCATCCGTCATTACACATAATATGGTAGATTCTTCTGATACAATCAAGCGAAATCCGGCTGATTGAAGTTATGAGATCATTTCTCGGGATGTCAAGCGAGAAACATTAAATTACCGCGACAGCAGAGCATACGATGGGATAGGTTGATGCCTTTCCAAGTCACGAGCCAAGTTACAAAGACAGCACCGGAGGTTATTATTACATAAATTGTTTTATTCCATGGCATGCAGGGGCTGACACTGATGGATCAGGGCCTATGTTTCAAGAATGATTTTAAGTTTCACCTGAGAAAGATGAGCTAGGGAGGATAAGAGCAACATTTCTTCGTGCTGAGAACTATAGGTGGGCAGAAATAAATGTGCCTCGAAAAAATGCCCCATCACTAAACAAGGCAACTGGGATGTCAGCAGCCACTGGTCTTATGAATTCATCACATTTCTGTTCAGAAAACGAAGAAAAAGGACGAGAAATGGTCTGCTTTAATGGCTAAGACTAACAGCTCTTGTTGGATGCGGAGTAATGTTCAAGTTTGCAAACCAGGTTCCCATGTCAGACCCGTGAATGACGTTGGAAATGATTCTGCATATAAGCTGTCTCAATACTTAGCGTCTATATTATGCCTCATAAAACACCACTCAAAATCCAGGTTAATTAATTCATTTGAGATGAAGCGGAGAAAATACTATATTAAGACAGAAGAGGATGATAAATAATTAGTTTTGGTGTGATAAGCTCATGTGCTAGTTTACCATTCAGCATGACTACAGAGGCCGTCAGAAATGAACTTCTACAGATCCTCAGATCTCTCATAGAACTAAGGTACCACTCCAAGGCTTCTTGTTAAGATTTCTATTATGAAACTTCCACCGTTTCAAAACTTCAAGAAGACGAAGTGACAAAACTAAATGTTAGATTTCAAAGCAAAGGGAAGACAATGCAGTGGTTTGAGGAGAATTGTCAGAGGAAATTTAACATATTACACTGGACGTCTATACATTGGGTCATCTTGTCCTGCATCGCTTAAGGTTGATCCGATCAAATGTTTAAGAAGTCGGGCTCGGAGATTCTCCAGCGAGTCCAAAAATTCAAATGGAGAAATGAGACACGAGAAGCTTGGTTCCCGAATGATTATCCTCCTGAATTTATTCAGAAATTACCAATGATACATAGAAGGGAAGTAGTAGTGTGAATAATTATTGTAAAACGATTATCGAGGAATTCGAGGTCTTTATAACATTGCCATATGAGGAAGCTATATCGATAAATGGCGCAGAGCTGAAGGCGCATTTGGCAGAAAGGGGCCTGGGCCTAAGTCCTTCATAGTCTTGAACCTCACGCCAACCTTGAGAATAAAGCATTGTGTGCAAATCCGGTGCTTGTTACCATAGAACTAGTCAGACAGCAGTTTCATCACGACTGTTCCCATCGCGGTCACCGATGTAGGACTGGCGGCAGCAATCATTTTCTGGATGGATTCAGGTGGTCGGTAACAGACCGAAACGTGGTTCCCCCTGTTAACGAATAAATAGACATTTTACTCTCACATTAGTAGTTTAACATGGGAGAAGCCAGTTAACAGGCGCCATCACATTGATACATGTTGAAAAATCTACAAGATTATACGGATCCTGAATGGTACGGAAAAGAGGCCATCAAATTCCATCAAAACGTCGGAAGACCCCGTCAGTTATGAAACGAACAAGAAAACACCACTTTTACGCCTATAAAGACTGTGAACGTTTAGGTAGTTATAAATATTATCCTCACATAACGGTATGACCATTAGAGATACCGGTTTACAAGCATCGTCAACCTGATAATTCTTGAAGGTTTTCGGCGTGGTACCTGATATCAAATAATTCACATGTCAAGTTGTTGGTGAGCGTGAATTTTCTATCTCCGTGTCTTGAAACAGTAGATCGTGGGTTCATTTGGTTGTTGGTCTATGGGAAATAATGATTGATAAAACGATGAAAATTATAATAGGAAGAGAAAGTTTGTTGTACCTTGGCTCCTGCCCACCCCATAGGCGGATATCAGGCCGGATTTAAAATGTCAGACCACGTAGCCCGGACCGTTTCTGTCGGAAGAGTGTTCCAATATTTAACAACCCGCTTTTTACTTCAACGTATCCATGACAGCTTCATCAAAATCAGTTCGTGGACTAAAGTCCCGACCAAAGAGGGAATGCATAGAAGCGCCTGGTCCACAGTCTATGGAATACAGGTGATTAGAAGCTAACCGAAGGATGATATGGGGCATTAAATACTTCAGGTCACCAGCTTCATCATCTGCTTAGGATAAGCTCCGACACGAATCCTAGCGGGTGGGTGTAACTCAGAAGTTAGAAACTCGTTAAAGTAGGCAGAGATGGAGTGCAAAGTTCACTTTAGGGACAGTGGTCGAGGCCGGAGTATTATTCATGTAGACGTTGTTTGCACTGGAACACTGGTCTCCCTAGAACGCAATTCAATATCCACTTAAGATGACAGTGTTAGCTTTCAAACTTAATTGCTCACAGTCCGAGCCCTTGCTGTTTTGCCCGTATATCTAGATTCTCAGACACATATTGGCCCACTGAATTTAGACTCAAACACTTCTATCTTGTCATCAGCCATAGGAAATCGTTTAAAACGAAAATCTGAAGTAATTTTCTTTTCGAAGCTTTTAAACTCCGCGATTTATCGAAAGATAGTCAGAACACCAGTGAAACATGGAAAAAGTGTCACTTAACGATGAACTACTGAACGCTGAATTGTACATTGAGCCCCTGAATAGTAGTAGTGATTTGTCCGCACCGATAGCTAAGGTTTGGTTCGTGGTCTGCATTCAAACTAAAGGTCGATTTCAAGATTAAGGGGATATGAGTGTATTCAATGTGTATCTGAAGATTGCTCTCGGTAAAGGATTTTTTGACCTAAGATTTACATTCAGCAATATGTTTTTCATCTCTGGTTGTAACGCAATCTGTCGTAAACAGGAGAATTTGCCGGAATGCGGTTTCCGCACAGGAACATCATTTACTGTCCGAATGCATAAAAGAATGGAGAAAGTACCCGTGGGAGCAATTTAGAGTGGACAACTCTCCTGAGTGCTCAACATGCCGAATAGTTTCACCATTCGTATGGGATTCCAAGATTGCACCTTTACTCTGCTCAACTCGTATGAACAGTCAAGAGGTAATTCAACCAGTTTGTTAATATTAGGCTTAGTGCAAAAACATCATTAATGCATTGTCACAGCTTAGAAACTTAAAGGTGATTGCAATTCTTGAAAATATTGTTAGCAGAATCGTAATGAAGTCTTGTGTAACATACTTACTCTTTGCGACTCTCATGGATACATCAAGGTAAGTATACATATAGACTAATATCCAGGACTTGAACTTTGGTGCTCCACTATGTGATGACTGTAAACGCCTAGTTAATGATATGCGGAAGCTGATTGAAGATAATTCAACGGCTGTCCAATTGAGGCACAGCTTGACGAATTAGTATGTGACAATCTTCCAGGCGAAATCGTACCATACTGCAAAAATATAATAAATGTGCATGTTCCATATGTCTTGCACATGATTGCTCAGAGCATGGTTGGTTTTTCGTTTTATTTATTTTGTACTTTTAAGAGCCCTGATGATATTGTACCACGCTTGGATTTTGCGGTAACGGACTGGTTAAATTCACATTGGCTGATTTCATGGTAAGAAAGTCAGTTAGTTTTAATCCCTTTTTGCCTTTCGGTGGATACTTTGCATGGTTTTAGGGTACACCTTACTGTTTTAACATTTGAAGTTAAAGTTATATGAATTGCTATTCAAGTGACTAAGTAACTTCAACCTTGTACATAAGCAGTTTCTTCAGTCGGCTGTTTTTTCTTTCCAAAGTCACTCTTTGTTAGGTCCAGAAGTGTACTCAAAGTTTTAGCACATTTTTCTGGTTGATTAATCCCTGTCCTTTCACACTTTTTTAACTGGTCATTCCTAGGGCCGTGACTTTTCCAACAAGTCATTGATTTCCTGAGATAAAGCGAATTTAATACCACTTTGCGTTACGCAAAGATGCGTTTATGTCTTTCTTGGTGGTAGTAACGAAAGGAGCATTAGGAAAACTATTCTCTTCTGTGATGAACTGAGATTATATCGAATACGGAATCGGTTGTAGTTTACTGGTTATTGATCAAACCGGTGCTTATAGTGTCAGATTTTCATATTTTGTTTAGGCACAACTTATCTGTTCAATTTAGAGTTAGGAAGCTTCTTCCCATAACAATCAATGTGCTAGGCTTGCTTCTTTTCTATCTTACTGATGATAATGGCGGTCCAGAGTGTAGGTCAATAGGGGACGTGCTATAATTTCTCATATTTGCCTCTACCGGCTGTACCGAGTTTGCCATCTAAGCGGGGGTTTCCTGAGGGAGAAGTGGGATGAAAATGTCAACCGTTTCGCATCTAGCAGTAGAGTTTGTGAACTGAAATCTGTCTGCAATTTATCTTGATGCATGCACTTACATTCCATGTGTTAATGGCTTAACGTAGATTAACAACGGCTATTTGAATTTCTTTGGGGTCTTTCTGAAAATGTAGTGTTTCATTTTAGTCTGTTAATCAGTATTTTTTAACTTGTGTGGTTAACACACTGTATTCTCATAAATCCGCACGAAGCTTTCATCTTTATGGGAAAGTTTGCATTTCATATGTTGCCTCAAATAAGTCTCAGAGTCGCCGAACTAGTCGTTCGTCAGAAGTCTAATCTCGGGGAAAATTGACCACAGTTTAAGGGTACCAGTGTAAACACTTGTGTTTTCGTGTCATTTCTGTATATGCTGAGTCACACAATTCCGGTTGTTTTTTTCCAAATATATGAACTAAATCATGAAATAAAAGCAACTCCGTGTAGACTCCTTTTAAGCGACTACTACATTTTACACCATTATTTAAGTCGTGTTTTAATTAAAATAATCCCTGATGCTAATTTAAGGAAGTAACGGCTCAATTTTTTTCCAAATTGAGTAGAACTCAACAGTTGGATGCTCCTTTTTCTGATTGGTTGTACCTACCAGGCTTCAGTGATATACGCATCAGTGATACACAGTAAAACATCAAATGAGATGTAGCAACATAGAAGTGGATAATTCTGACAGGTTAGGGGAGACTGATAGGTTTTGGTGAGTTGTTATTATTGATTATGAAGATTGAACTAAAAAATAAATTATGATCGTTGTCAACATAACAGCTATTCATAAGCATGGAGTTAGTTGGACGTAGAACCAAGAAGAGTTGAGTGAACAATAATAAGGCTATTAATGATGAAACTTTCTTCTATTAAATAAAGTAAGATAAAAGGAGAAAGCTTAAAAATAATTACAATTCATCAAAATACGTTCGAAATGGTGCCGTACTAAATACAAGTTAATCATCATTTCTTTCCGTATGTATGTTTGACTTCTAAACTGAAATCACGTAGGCTACTGAAATTTTCAGCGTATATACAGTGAAAATGTTATCCATATACTGTTGGTCTAATTGTGTCTACTGTTTAAAACACTACTTCGTTTTGTTTTTTGTCAGAAGACTGGCAAACAGGTTGCTGGCAGTTGCAATATCCTTTGCAAATTAAGTCTGTTAAATCTCGAATTTGCAGCAAAGCTTGAAAATTATAGATCTGTATTTAAACTTTCAGGGTCAGAAGGAAAAGTGTCATGAAGATCAGAAGTATTCATGGATAAGACGCCCAACAGGTAGTGTTGGTCATAAATGGACTTCGTACAGCATACAAGAAACACCGAGTTGTGCGGATTGTCTCAATGTACTGAATCAATTTAAGAGAGGTATTGAGGATTCAAATATACGCGAGAGCCTAAAGAAGTTACTTGATGAGAAAGTTTGTTCACGTATGGGCTTCTTCACTGCTGCAGTAAGTTTGCATAATCATATATCAATGAATTTGGTTAAGAATTGAGTGTATGTGATTGAATGGAAATTTCTTCCTTTCTGAAAGGAAGTTTTTGTACATAACTCTTTGGCTAGATTCAGTCATTTTTTTGGTAATGAACAGTGTTGTTCTCTGAGTTTTCCGAAATGTAAGTAGATATCGTATTTTCCAGGAACTAGGTTAAGGAATAGTATACATAACGAATTCGAAAGCGAGGTGATATCTTTTTTTATCAAAAATTTGCAGAGTACAAGTAATAAACTATCGGAAATGGTGAGATACTATCATGAAGAAGGCGTAGAAGAAATTAGTGGAGATTGATAGATGAAATATTTGAGGTTTAGGGGAAGAAAACAAATGGTAAGCCACTTCATGACAATGTATTGACTCAGTTCATTTCTCCGCAAATATCTAATCAATAGTTAATAGTATCTTGTAAACTCCGACCACCTTTAGATTTTACATATTCAAAAGTTGCTGACTATTCAGCAGTACCACATCCATACAACACTTAGAACTTGGATCCGTAAAATTATCTACCGTGAACGGTAAGAAATAGTGAACTGTTACTCAGTTTAATGACCATTTAGTTAAACGTTGAATGCCTTATAGGTGTTATAGACATCAGGAGTCAGTCAATTCTTAGATTTTATCGGCAACAAGTCTTTCACGCCTTATACAATACTCTATATTGGTATAGTATTTAGTGGAAGAAACCATTTCACTATGCTTTGACGTAGTTCAGTTTAGGCAAGCAAATAAGGTAATAACGCCTCATATGAAGTGTGGTCCAGAGTGTAGTATAAAATGCACTCCTGTCTGGTACAGGTTTATGTACTTGGTTGAGTCACACTTATTACAAGGGCTTGTAATAGTATGCGGTTGGTCGGTGTATCTTGAGATCGACTTCCTCGAAGTGATAATATACGGGATTGGAGATCCTTGATGACATGGCTTAAAGTCGATCACAGTAGGACAAACGTATTCCAGCTTTGAGGTGATCAAATAACTACAGCGAAAACATTCTGTACACTGCTCGACGGTAGGAATACTATGTCTGCTTTCAAAGAAATGTTGGCTTAGCAGTTATCAGGAGAGAACAGTGTCACTTATCCAGAAGAAACCTGGTGCCATTTCCAGTCTACTGTAAAAACAACAGTAAAGACAGTAAGTGACTCTCAGAAACGGCCGGTCGATCTTAGCAGCTTCTTCAAAACTGATGAATGAGTCTAAGTTCATTCCTGCAAGTTGCAAGTATAATGGGAATCAAAAGTGACCCAAATATGGATTGAAGATAAGTCTAAGCAATGACAGTGGTGGTAGGCGAAGGCTAGAGAGGTGGAAAATCCCGCAGTGTTAGATAAAAATGGACAACTATTCGGACTTACCAAGCTAACCAGAGTAAAATGGTCAATGGTCATCGAGGCTATGGTAAAAAAGGATAGGTCTGTGGTTTACTCACAGGCAACATGACTGGAACGTTTAGCGGAACACTTCAAGAAAGAATTCAACTAGCCATCAGCTACTATTCCATTATCCGCCATCAAGTACGATCATGGATTAGGCACGGATATGGGCTCTTCAACTCTTGCGCCAGCTAAAGCTGCAAGTAACCTGAATCCAGGAAGAACAACAGGGCAGATAGGCATATACCAGATGTATTTAAGGAGATAGTTGAGGATTTTTGTTCAGATTGCATAAAGTGTTAGCTAGTGTACGGCAATCAAATATGGAACGCTTTTACTGGTCACAACCACTGATTGTACCAATCTCTAAGTAGGGAAAGAAATCCTCATTGGGGAATCAATCTAGCAAATATAGCGTCTAGTATCCTAGGTAGATATTATAATTATCGGACGTCTAAGCGAAGCTTGACCACAGAAAAGGGAAAATAAGCAGGTTTGTGAAGGCTCCGTATTCGAATACCCATTGTCATGTTTGAGCCTAAGGTAAGCTGCGTACATCGAGGGATGCCCTACAAGGATATCCGCTCTCTCCATCCTTATTCAAATTTCTCATAGACACGCTTTTAGGAGTCTTCCTGTCGACGATCGACTCTACATGAATTGACCCCATTACAGGAGAATCCTCGGGAGATCTAGAGTACACATATGACATTGTCTTAATGAGTAAGGATACTGAAAACATGCAGAGTCGACTGTATACCATAAATGGAAATTTGATGATGTGTGGGACACCTTCGTCACCATCCAAATGCAAATTGTTGCTCCAATAATGTTTTTCACTGGTGCCCTGTCTAAGGGTTTGAACCCTTATTCCACCTAGCGAGGTTTGGGCAGCTAAGCAGTATCACTAGCCCTAAAACAATAGGTGTGGCTCATTGTCTGGTGCAGGAATTTGCATAAGGATTCTGAGTTCACTTCTTTTAGTCTAATAAAAGGGAATAAAGTGGTTGAGTGCGTTTAACCACTTCCCTTACCTGCGAAGTCGGATCAACCTCGGTAGGTGAGTCACTGACCGACGAAATCTCTGTACGAATTCAAACAAATCACTTGGCCTTCATCATTATATCCAATCGCTTATTAGAAGTCAAGTGTACTGCTCTGGAGTTCACTCAGTTCTACTATGTGGCTGTGAAACGTGGTAGGGAACATAAGAAAGCTTGAGATGTTCGACTACCCTCGCCTTCGTAGCATATGCCACGTGTCGTGTTGTCGTCATGTCAGTAACGTAGAAATCAGGTGTAGAGGTCTAGAGCGAAGAGGAAAGTCAGATGATGCCTAGCCAGCCACCGTCTTTCCTGTCTCACAATGTCAGTTGAAGTAGGAGGTTCAAGCTGGAGAAAGGTTCAGGGTAGCCAAACTGAATCATTGCATCAGTCGTTGAAGTCTTTGATTGTTGGTCTGAGTTATGTGGGAGAATGTGGACTTCTTGGTTGGGGTGTGCATGGTAACTGATACTGATGTCTGGAGGCTATGTGATGTGTCTCAGAATCGATCTGTGACGACGATATGTCCACACGACCGACCTGTAGCTGCTACCTTGACGTGATAATCGGGCATGCATATCACAATGGCCCAACGAGCTATGCTGGTGGAATGCTTGTTCCCTCGAGGTCCTACCATACCAGGAAGGTCTGTTGGATAGTGGTTAGATGAAAAGCAGCTACCATTCTGGTGTAAATTACTACACTATGATGGGGGTCTGAAGGCGAAGTCGTACTGCTGTTAGCTGGATGGGGTGTGACAGCAGTAAGGTGTTTCCCTTGGATGACCAGCAATGCCATGCTGATGCTGCCTTCTCAGTGGAAGGGGGGGGTCAGAAAAGATCGGCCCCAAAAATTACACACCCCACCATGCCCCACGGTCTGCCGGGCCGGCGGTGTTGGTTCACTTGTCGTTTCCTTTCGCTCATCCGGCCCCAAAAATACAAACGTTCAAAATAATCACACTCAAAAGGTTTCGTGTGACAGGCCTCAAGCAGATGTCCGATGGGCTCTGCGGTCACACAAATCTCTTTCAGGTACCTTAAGAAGAAATTGCCTTCCATGGTGTGGGCAACCGGGAAGTGTCAACCGCCCTCACAACTCTCTCAGCACCCAAGTTTCTTCTGACTGCTATCCTCCTCCTCCATCATTACCTTCTTATCTTCCTTCACGTCTCTCAACTAACGATACTACATCATCTTCAATTTCTCCTACCTCTGCAGCCTTCGACAACGATCTGAGTCCACAGAACAGCATCCCTGGTCTCCTAAAACCACGCTCCAAATTACATATTGGAGCCTTCAATGTCCACACTCTCCGACAAATTGGTCAACAGGCTTTGTTGGCAAAGACCAGCAACTCGGGCCATGGATGTGTGCTGTGTTTGTAAGATACGCATACAGGACCCAAGTGTGGTGATTCAACTGACCTCTCCTGACCAGTCTGGTGAATCAGCAAAATTTACCCTTCGAGTTTCTGGAGATTCGATAGCTAGTTCTCGGAGTCTTGCAGGTGTAGGTATAGCATTAAGCACCAGGGCAGAAAACTCACTATTAGACTGAATCCCAGTTGATAGTCCCCTCTGCGTTATGCGAAGGAATGGCACAGTGAAAATTAAAAGGAATAGCGAGACTCGCCGTTGTCTCTTTGTAATCTCTGCTTACGCACCCACTGACTGCAGTTTTGATGAAATGAAGGACGAGTTCTATTGTTAACTGTCTAGCTTCCTCTCGAAAGCCAAAAGTTCGGACGTGGTGGTTGTTGCAGGTGACTTTAATGCACAGGTGGGTAGACTGAGTGAGGCATAAAGGCACTTAGGTGGCACTTTCGGAATCCCAGCTGAACGTACAGATAACGGTGATCGCCTACTACAATTTTGCTCAGATAACCGCCTATTTTAGCTATCACGAATTTCAGACATAAGAAAAGACACTGTCTGACGTGGTATCCACCGAGCTCGACTCAATGATGGACACAGATAGACCACATTGCTATTAGTCATTGCTGAAGAGAATCGGTGTAAGACTGCCGCTCCTTCTGGAGTACGTATTTGGACAGCTATTGTGCGTTGGTCCGAGCACGTATATGCCTGCGTCTCAACGGATGTAAGAAAAGTTTGGCAACAAAACCAATACGAGTACTGCTAGACAACGAAAACACCAAAGCCGTGTTCAGTGAGAAGTTGGCTAGGCAGTTATCCGGACAGAAGACTGTCACTCATCCAGAAGAAGCTTGTCGCCAACTTCAGTCTGCTGTAAAAGCAGCACTGAAGACTGTAACCAACTCCAAAATAATGGCTAAAAAGAGCCAGTGGATAGCAGCAGCATCTTCCAAACTAATGGATGCACGTGAATGCATCCCTGCAGGCTCTGAGTACAATGAAGAGCGAGCGCAACTTAAAAATAAACTGACGAAAAGTCTGCGCAACGATCGTGAACAGTGGTGGGCAGCGAAGGCTAAGGAGATGGAAAAGGCACCGGCGATCGGTAACAGTAGACAGTTATTTAGACTTATTAAGGAGACTGGGGGGAAATGG